ACCTACAAAGGCAAAAGGGGGGGGGGGGGAGATGGAGAGAGAGATTAAACCAAATCAGATATGAAATAAGTGCACAGCTTAGCATCTGTGTGCATGTTTGTAGAGGACTACAGTATAGCTTTATCCCATGCCATGTTTACCATTAGCTTGGTTTGGCCCTGTGAAAAGAAAACCTGATTTCCACCAGTTTAGTCAGATCATCCTGTCTTTTTGTGTCAAAATTTGGAATGGAATTTTAATGTTCTCCTTCTAAAGGAGCCAAGCTAAGTTTGCCTCTGTTGTCCCATTTAAATATGTTATTATTAGCAAAAACCAAGAAAAGTACAGGAACTCTCGACATGAGCTGATAAATGTGGAAAAGGCTGCAGCAAGAAAGTACTCTTTTTTAAGAAATTTGTTTTCAGGGTTATTCCACAAACATTCCTAAAGAGAACACTGTGTGCAACCTCAGTTTGATGGTGCCACTTGCTTTCCCCAACGAATCGACACATTCCTCCTCCTCTCTCTGTGCTTTATATAATGTGCCAAAGAGGTCACATCCTTCCTGGGAGGTCCTTGAGAGCACAAGTGACAAAGTGAGGCAATATTAACTCCTGTTGAATCTGCACTCTGCAACTGTGGGCAAACTTACAAAGGGCAGCAGACACACTGCAGTGGTAGCATTATTTGGCCAGCCACAAAATACATAAACATGTGGCCTAATACAGCTATCATTGTGGTATGGATTTGGGCATTTGGTTTTTTGGCCACTTCTTCCTACCCACATGATTGTGTTCTCTTAATAAGCTCTCTCTAAGTATCAGCTTCCAGAGGAAGCCCAACCCCATGGCTCCCGCCCGTCCCTATACACAAGATAAATTCTTTTTCTGTCCTTGTCTAGTTTGAGAGCCACAAAAGCCTCCCCGGTCCTGCGCCGCCTAATCTTTTCCCCTTCCCTTCGTGTCCACAGAGCATCTCCGGGATGCAGCTGAAGGTGAGCGAAAGATCTCTGGAAGCTGATTGGCTACTCTTGTGCACGCCTCCACCTTAGGGCGAGGTCCCGATACCCGCCCATGCCTTTGGGCCGCGCAGGAGGGGATGCGCGGCCGCGAGCAACCTGGGAAAGAATCGGAGCCGCGCCGCTGCACGAAGAGTTACGGCAGCGGTGCGTGGCAGGTGAGAGCCCTTGCAGGAAGCGGGTTGCCCGGCCGGCTGGGAAAGGAGCAGTGTTTCGGCGCATCACTGGACGGCGGGGTGGGGCACACATTCAAACCCGCCCACCCCGTTTTGAGGACCGCGAGCCCAGCCCTGATTAAAAGGAGATGTTTAAACGATGTTCCGTTTTTTTTAAAAAGGGGTGGGTTAGGGTTGGAAGACACCGCCATCTATTCGACGTTGGCGATGAAGTCAGATGGTAAGAAGAGCCCCGCCGGGTCAACGCCCACCCCTCACGACCATGCAGCGCCCTGTCATGCTTCCTGCTAGTGTAGCGCAGCGCAGTGGGCAGACAGATGGCTTTGGGAAGCTCGCAAGGAGCCTCTGGAGGTGGCAGCGCTGCCCGGCTTGGGGCTGGTTGCTCACTAGTGGACGCACGGAAATGCACTCTTGAAATGTTCAGAAACACTGATATCCCGGTATCACACGCTGCAGGCCTGAGACAGAGGAAGACAGTCAGGAGGGAGCCCTACAGGCACAGGACCGCCTAAGACTTGGGGATGAGAAGCCCCCTCCTCTTGGCGGCTCCCTACCTGTCCCCTCCCCGGATCGCCAGGGTCTGCTCCCCTGCCGCTTCTGGAGGCGCTTTCCTTCCCAGCTCCCCCGAGGTATCGCCCTTCTCCCGTCACCGCCGGTTCCCCCCCCCACCTCACTCCCCGCTCGCCTACTCGGCATAGCCGGTGCTCCAAGGCAGGCGTCGGCGACTCTCGCGGGGACTCTGGACGGCTCTGCCCGTGTGATCATCCGCCAGCAGAAGTTCCTCCGGCGTGAGCTGCAGGAAAGCTGGTCTCGAGAAGCAGCCTCGGGACGCCTCCCGCGTCAAGCTGCCGGTGGCCGCCGCGGCGGCGGCGGCCGTGGAAGTGGAAGAAGAAGCGGAGGCGCCGGCGGCGGAGG